TTGAGCCCACTAATAGCCGCTTGGGCAGGGAACATTATCCCAAGTTTTCAGCCCTCTAGCTTCTCAAGTCCCCGAGTTATGAACTTACCCGAAAAAAATTTTGGCGGGCTCATAGGGGTGTACCATGCTTACCCGGGGGCTGGGTTTGAACCCACCAATACCCGCTTGGGCGGGGAACATTACCACAAGATTTCAGCCTTCTAGCTTCTCAGATCCTCGAGTTATGAACTGACCCCAAAAAAACTTGGGGGGCCCGTACGCGGGAACCACGCGGGTTTTGGCGCCAATTTTGGGGATGAGAACTGACCCCAAAAAAACTTTTGGGGCCCGTACGCGGGTACCACGCGGGTTTTGGCGCCAATTTTGGGGATGGGGGCTCGTACGTGCATGTAGATCATACCCCCAAAGTTTCAGCCCCGTAGCTTTTGCCGGTCTCGAGATGAAGAATCGGTACAGACGCGCAGCGCACACACAGACACACACACACACACACACACACAGACAACCTCTTGTCAATATGCGTTTTTCGCATTGCATTGCTGCAAAAAACGCATAATAAATGACAACGCGCAGCAGACTAGCCGGTGCGATCATGCGTTTTGTGCAATTCAGCCCATCGAACTATTGCCTATTAATGATTTTCACAGCTTTGTACTTTAGTCTATGCAAAAATAGCTCAAATATTGGAAAACAGTTAAAAATTTCACGCACCAACGCTGAATTTGAATGGGCAAGGTTGAGCGTGGGCAGGGGGTCATTGCCTTAAAATTTCAGCCTCCTAGATTCCGTGGTTCCCGAGATATTAATTTACCTGTAAAAAAACTTTCACGGGGCCATACGTGTTACTCGCGGATACGGGGAAGCTGAAGTTGAATTTGCGGGGTCACGAAATTTGCGTGGGTGGGGGACGTTCCCCAAAATTTTCAGCTTCCTAGCTTTTGTGGTTGCCGAGTTGAAAGTTGCGGACAAGTTGCTGCGGACACACACACACAAACGTAAACAACCCTGTGACTATACGTTTTTTACTGCTGTTACACAGCACAAAACGCATAAAAAGCCACTCGGACGACTACCGTAGAAGTCGCGCACATACACCGAACAGACCGTACAGGTACTAGTAGGAGGAATCGAAGGCCTGACATAATTGCTCCTGATCTGCTAAAATATATCGTTGTTGACTATCCCCGTGTACGGGCCTGTAAGCATAAAATGAGTTCTGTTTGTGTATATGCTACGCTTACGAAAAATTACCTGTATTTTTAAAAAGAAAGTTTGTTATGTGATTGGAACTTGTGCTTCCTCAGTTTGCAACTTTTCTTGCCCAGGCCTTCTAAATGGCATGAAATTACCGGGCAAAGTTGCAGTGCCAGATCCTCCCGGACCAAGCCGAAGACGTTTTGAAGAAACGACGCAACAATCAAAAGAATACCGCTCGGGAGCTAGAAATGATGGCAGTTGGCAAAGTCAGCCGCAGTGGTCCGGTAATCCTGACGGGTTTGAGCAACAGTGGACGTCACCATATGCGCCAGAGGGGCAGTGGAATCAAGCTGGAAGATCGGAGCTTCCAAATAGGTTACTTCTTCCCCTTTCGTGATTGCATCACTTCCTTTATCAGTAAAACATATATTTTAGCATGTAAAAAGCGAGAAAGGTGAGAGAAAATACCCCGACGCTTTCCACTTTTTTACTACGGAAATCAGTTTTTTATCAGATTGATATGAATCCAGAAAATTCACACGCTTATTTACAGATCATTTAATCGTTCCGATACGAGGACGAGTTGGCAACCAAATGTTCCCGCAAATATGAATTCGCCTGCGCCGTTCCACTTCCAAAACATTCCTTCCACTAAACCAGGGTTTCATCGCAACACTCAAGGAAAATTTGCGAGAGGTAATTTCTTAAAAAAAAATATACATGTATAAAACTGAAAAAAAATGCATGTATAAAACTGGAAAAAAAAATGGTGTCATGTCGAGTTTTTATGCGTTTTTTTGCAGCTTTGCAATGCAGAAAACGCATATTGGCGAGGGGTTATCTGTGTGTGTCTGTGTGTCCGTGTGTGTGTCTGTCACGGTTTCTCATCTTAAGACCTACAGAAGCTACAGGGCTGAAACTTTGGGAATTTAATCAACATGCACGTACGGGCCCTTATCCCCAAAGTGGGCGCCATTACCCGCGTGCGGGCCCGCTAATATTTTTTTCGGTTAAGTTCATAACTGGGGATCTGAGAAGCTAGGAAGCTGAAATCTTAGGAGGATGCTCCGCGTTCAAGTGGGTATTAGTGAGCTCAAATCAGCTCCCGAGTAAGCGTGGCACCCACATACGGGCCCACCAAAATTTTTTTCGGGTAAGTTGATAACTGGAGTACCTGAGAAGCTAAAGGAATGTAATTTTCAGAGGATATACCCCGTCTACCTAAGTTTCATTCTGGTAAACATGCACGGGCCCGTGAAAGTTTTCCAGTAAGTTGCTAACTGAGGAGCCGGGGATGCTAGAAAGCTGGAATTTTAAGGGGGTGTTTTCTAACAGTTCTGGCGGCCAGTCTTAATTTGTTTAACTAGAAGCATTTGCCGAAAAAGCCGGTGCCGGTA